AGGAAATGGTTGAATAATGGTCAAAGGTGCTTATTTCAATGCCTCTTTGTTTTTTATAATGCGGTTTTTATTTCTGCTTAGCTTCTTTAGTTATCCCTGCTGGCAGAGGTATTCAGCACTTCACGACAGCAGACTTGGTATGTAGCTTTAATACTATTTTATTTCTGCCTTGACAATATTGAACACTCTACATGATACAGTTAAGTTTTTCATTTGTTGAAGTACTTTGTGGGAGGTGGAAATGGAAGATTTTTCAATATCTTGATGCTCTAGGACAACACCTGGGCAATTTTCTCTGCCTAATAGCATATCTCTTGACAATTTCTTTCATGTACTATGTGACATATGGTAGACAAGAGGGTAGGAGTCTTTGCTGGGAGAGTTAGCAACATCTGCAGCATCTAAGCTTTTATTTAAAAAGGTTTTTAGCCTTTATGGCTTTGATGAAAATCTTCCAAATATCAGTGATATAGTGATGTCTGAGTCTTCAAAATGATGGCTCCAATGCCACAAACTGTATCTAAGGGGGAAAAGGGGGTGGATATTTGATTGCTCTAACAGCAACACAGTTGGGAAGGACAGAAGTGATGACTCCTAGCTTTAAAGTGAACTACTGTGTGCCCATTGCTTCAAAAAAAATAAATAAATAAAAGGGGGGGGCGGGGAGTCTGCCTGGGGAGGCTCAGTTGTCCTGGCAGAGGGCTTAGTGGATGGGTGGGTCTGTCTGGGTAGAGGTGGCACGCTTACTTGGGTGGTGGTGCAGCTGCCTTGTAATAATACATTGCTGGGGAGGGACAGCAGGCATTGCTTTGGTATTTGCTACTCAGGGCACCCTTAATAGAAAGCCAAAGTATTTGTGCAAGAGGAAGGCCAAGGTGTGGGGGGGGATCAAAAATTAGGGATAATCAACCAGCAGAAGGGGTTTTGTTTTTGAGCAAGTGTACCTTTACCTGCCAGGTAGAATGAGCCTGTCAGTCTAGAGATTCAGTAAATTTTTCAAGCCTAGGGAATAGTAAGGAAAGAGGTTAAGAGAATGTTTGAGCAAACTGAAAATTTCCAAACTTCTTATTCTTGCATTTCCCAAAAAAAGCTCCCAGATCTTCTGGCTTACCTTTCTTACATGACCCTCTGCTCTCCTACTCCCTCTTGTTGGGAAGAAATATTTGATGATATTACAGGCACGTACAAAGAGGTTGTAGTACAGAGCCTGGAGTGTTTTGTGTGTAGGTACCTACCTAAATCATGGTGGAAGTTTGTGGCACAGCAGTGCCTTTAATCTTGCTCTTGCTTTTAATCTCCCTCTTTTTGCTGTGCAATGCCCGCCCCCCCTGCTGTGTGGCCAAGAGGCAAAAACTGTGGTGTTAATTGCCTCTCAGCCACTCAGCAGCAGGGATGCATGACTAAGAATGAGATTTAAAGGTACCACTGCACTGCAAAGTTTCAGTGCAATACATATAGGTCCCTATATTATGTGCATTTGAGTTGTGTTGAGGCTCTCAGTACTGGGTTTTGTTGGTTCTGGTGCTTGTGTTGTTGGAGACCCTCAATTTCAGTCCATCAAACTTGGAGATTCAGTGCGAGCTAGAAAGGGAAGGGGCATATATTTGATACATTCCACTGGAGCAGTGGAAGTCCCCAGGACAAGTCTTATTGTTGCAATACTTCAAGACAACATGCTGAAGATGGCATGTCTCTTAAAGACCAACTCAGCTTTTCAACAGAGAAAGAGATTGGAGAAAAGCCATAAGTGGGATCTCTGTAGATGCATATTGTTAGGTGTGACTTGACCTCAAGACAGAGCAGGGGTGACTGCTGCCTCCTGAGTTGTGGGTGGGCCTGGGGGCAGGCTCATACCCACTTCTATACTTCTGTGCTGCGGCTTAGTGCCCCCCTCAACACATGCCAGCCCGTGCAGGAAAAACACTGCCCTGTCCTGAGCAGTGCTGAGTCGGGGGCCAGTCTCAGGGGGGACAAGTGCCCCCCCCCTCCCCCCGCTGTCACCTGTGAGACAGAGTACAAAATATAACCAGACTTCCCTCTCCACTGTCTGTTAGGGTGCTTCACGAGCCAGTGCAACTCTTACTCTCCCTTCGGGCATTGCATATCCTATCCATGTCCCAGCAGGAGTGACACTACAGACTGCTTCTGGTAAGGTGATAAAAGGCTGTCTTAACCCTTAGTGATGGCATATTTACTGTATACAAGGATTAGAAGACTGCAACAACTGTTTGGGAAGTATAGTGGATACCCAAGTAGGTAGTGTCCACACATGAGCATGGACATTTGGTTCCCCAGGGACAACTAACAGCAGGACACCTTGTGCCACTGCTAGTTGTCCCTGGTGTATGGCATACTACCTCAAGTGAGGTAGGGGAGGTAGGGGCCAGCACCGTGCTGGCCTAGCAGCCTTACCTGGGGTTCTGGGGGCCTCCTGAGGCTGCAGTAGCAACCATCCTGCCACTTGGAGCCTGGCTGGCAGCTGAAGTATGGTTCTGGCTGGCCAGACTCTGGTTTTGAGCCCACTTTATTTTGTGCAGGGTTGGTTTTTTGGGTTTTTTTGACCCCTAGGTATGCAGGGGTCAAAAAACCTTCTATGCTGCTACCTTGCAGCATGGAAAACAGCCGAATGTGCAGTATGTGGTGCCTCATACTGCACAGCCACGCTCATCCAGATGTGGCCATTGAGTGTAGGTGGCGAAAAGAGATGATTTTCTTTCTGTTCTTTGTCTAGTGTGATCTTGCTACAGCATGGAGTAATGAACGAGATCTGATCCTTTACAGCTAGGTTATCCAACTTCTGGATGGGGGGAGGGGGTGCATATGATGTGCCGGCCACAGACCTGGGCTCCTCCCCTTTGCTGTGTGAGCAGTCCAGTTCTCTCTCTTCTCTGCAATACAGGCAGAATGAGCAGCCCAGATGCTGCCCTGAGTCTTCCAGTCACATATGCAGTGCAAGTAGCCCAGGTGTCCCTGCTGTAAGCAGTCTGGGTCTTCCAGTTGCAGGATTAAATGAAACCAGGAATTGTTTTGCTGTCTGAGTTCTAGCAAGCAGGTGGTCATCAGCTTAACTCCTGACAGAGAACTTTAACAATGCAATTTAATGCTTCTTTTTTGTAGGCCAAATCTATAAAGTAAATATGCCGGTTATGGTTACACAGGCCCCAGGAGGTGCAAGTATTCTGCAGCATCCTATTCAGCAAATCTTTCAGCAACTTGGGCAGTCTTCTGTCTTGCAGGCCAATATCGCCAGTGTTGCACAGTTAAACACATCTTCTGTTCAAGCAGCTGCTGAAAAAGTGCAGACCCAAGACATCCCACTTCAACAGACCACTGTTCTGCAGCAAGGCACGGTAGAAAGGAAACAACTAGAAAATTCTGCAAATGCTACTTTGGAACAGCAGCCTCCTCAGAGTCAGCAGCAAGTTACAGCTAACACCATGTTAAATCAGCAGGCAAGCTCAATGGAAAAATCTCCAAACTCTGATCTGCACACAGCTGTGTTTACTTCAAAATCCTCTGAAGCGGATTCTACTACTGAACTGGTGGCAGACAACACATTTCCCATACCTCAGGATATGGAAGGGCAGGTATCCCCGGTGTGCCAGGATTCAGTGCAACAGCAGGTGTCTGATGATATCATTGAGCTGATTATTATGGGTAATGGCTTGGATGATAACCCCCTTCTAAAGGATCAGGACAACATTTCCAGCATTGAAGAGGTATGACCTTTTATCGAATGAATTCCAACTTCGTGAAAATTCTGTATAGCTGACTGAAGTAGATACCACATTTACCCAAATCCATGATGACGTCCTATTTTAAGATGACCCCAGTTATTAGTTTCTAAACATGAAAAATCATAATTTTTTTTTTTGTTTTTAGTTTTTCATGTCCAGAATCTAGCACCAAGGGCTGAGGGGTAGGCAGCATGCCCCTCTGCCCCTCCCCCCTTCCTTCTTCCTTGCTGAGGCTGTAGCAATGCCCCCCACCTGACTGTGTACCCCTTACCCTTCATTCCCCTTGTTCTGAACATCGCTTATCTTCTTGCCTCTTTCCTTGTGCTCCCTTTGCTCCATGACCTCCCCTTTCCACCTGCTTCATGAATCATCCTGGCCCCATCTGGACTTGCAGCAGCTGCTTGCCTAGCCTGGACTTGAATCTAAGACAGGGTGGTCCCCCCCCACCCCATGCTGAATGTGGGGGGAATCCCATGTCTTAGATTCAAGTAAATATGGTAGTTGTCTGAAGAACTGATTCCTGGCATATTTAGGAATATATTTTTGTGTTGTTGAGATGTGCTAGCTATACTGCTATCACTAGGAAATTGCTACAAAACTGCCAAACTTCTGCAATGCTTGGCTAGTTGTCAGGCTCATAACTAACAGAGTATGACCTTTTGGTGCAGTTGGCTGCTCTCAAGAGAACCCTCACAAAACAATTTCATATTTCTCTAGACTTGCATGATTTATGTGCATCTTGTACCTCAAGTTTTTTTGTTTGAGGAAAAGCAGGTAGATGCCCATCACAAAATTCTTACCAATACTGTAGGGTTTTTCTTTTTTCTTTTGGCGTATTTCTGCTTTTTGAGATAAGCAGATGAGTGAGCAAATTCTCTAGAACTGCTGGTTTGAAATGGGTATAAAAATGCCATGTGAAGTCATACACTGAACTGCTAAATCAGTCGTTCAAACACTGCAACAGATCACCTACTAGTACTGTATGTTTTGTCACTGATCTGCTTACAGTCTCTTATATTCCTAATCGCTAAACTAATTGAGTTTTTCTGGGTTGGTCTTTTCTAGCACAGAATAACTTATTAGTCAACACAGCATATTTAAAAGAGCATTGTCAAAAATGTTTCCTATTACTAAGAACTCCTCTGCATTTTTTTTTTTTTAAAGGAAAATTTAAAATATCTGATTCTTTTTAGAAAGTGATATAAATCACACTTCACTCCGTATGGGCAACAGAATAGGCTATTTATTTCCACGTTCTGTTTTTTAGCCATAGACAAACACTCCTGAAATATTTGGATTGTAGAGACTTTAAGCATTGCCCTACATGCTTCCATGAATTTTGTATTATTTTAAAAGTTTTTAATAAGTGTTTGCCTGAAATCCTATATTCAAAGTCTAATTATATACTAGCGTTCCTTTTTTGAAGTGTCGGATTGTTATGATCTTGACATCACAGGTCAGTTGGCAAGAAAATTTGCCTTTTGAATATTAACTTCTAGTCCTAAAGGAGGAGTTTGTCAGACTCTACTCACATGCAGGATCCTCAAGTTTTACTGTGGTGTATGTTGATGGAACTCTCTCTCTTGGTTGGTTGGTTTGTTTTGTTTGTTTTTTTTAAGAAAAAAAAAATTCAACTTAGGCTGTGCAAGTAACATGATATGGGTAATTGTAATATTGTGTTGTGATTTTTGCCTATGGATGTTCCACAAATAAATTGTGGCTTGCTTAAATTTTATCTTATTTTTTTCATCCCATGAATTGATTGCAGATATCTTCGTAAATACTAGGGTTTTGTTTATAGATTCATAGATGTTTGGGTTGGAAGGGACCTTAGCAGATCATTGAGTCTGACCCCCTGCCCTGGGCAGGAAAGGGTGCTGGGGTTCCTAGCCAGGTGCATGTCTAGCCTCATCTTAAAGACTCCCAAGGTAAGCGAGAGCACCACCTCCCTTGGAAGCCCATTCCAGATTCTGGCCACCCTTTCAGTAAAGAAATTCTTCCTGATGTCTAACTTGAATCTGCTCTCTGTCAGTTTGTGGCCATTGTTCCTAGTTACTCCCAGGGTGCTCTGGTAAATGGAGCATCTGCTATTTCTTGCTGCCTTCCCCTCAAATGAATTCGTAGGCAGCCACAAAATCCCCTCTCAGCTGCCTCTTGCGGAGGCTGAAGAGATCCAGGACCCTCAATCACTCCTTGTAGGGTCTTACCTGCAGGTCCCTAACCATACAAGTGGCCCTCCTCTGAACCCTCTTGAGGTTGTCCACATCCCTCTTAAAGTGCGGTGCCCAAAACGGGACGCAGTTTAGTTCCAATTTGATCAGAAAAGCCACATGGCATTGGTTGTGTTCCACGATGAGGTAAATATGAAGTTGAAACAATGTTTGGAGTGAAAGTGTGGTCAAGGGAAATTTTCATTAATGTTACAAATGAGCCTAAATGGAGAGTTCTGTATTAATTGGCCAGTGCTAGATGCATCCCGGCTTTGAGAGTATTATAGCTTAGAATGGTCAGAAAGACTGCTTAAGAAGGACTGAAAAGAAATAAATGCTTCATTGTGGCATGGTACGTGTGGCGGGGGAAAGCTTAATACTTTTTAATTTGAATGAGGCATCTTAAATTAGTGTTATCAACAGAGAGAGCCTTTTTAAAATTTTATTTTATTTTTTTAAATAATAACTTCTTGTTTTGGGATTTCAGATTTTTTTAATCTATTTTAAAAAGATATACGTTTCCCCTAGTCTTTACAATATTAAAACTCTAATACTTTCATTACACCTTAGTTTAGCCAAACAAAACAATTTTGATAGACCCAGAACATATTAGGGAACACTTTCTGGATTTCCTCCTCCTTCTCTCACTCCCTTCTTCCCCGTAACTACATCTTTAAAACTAGTTAGATGGTTCCATTTTGTGGCCTGTTTCAGCTGTGGATCAGCTCCAATGTCTGCTGCTTTATTTTAAAGAAAACTTTGCTTCTAATGCAATAACATTTGAAAATGATATCCAAGCTTCTGTGCAAGTACCCAAATAGAGTGGCTAGACACTTTTTGTTTTCTTCCCGGGAAGGTCAGATTCCCCAGAGAACAAAGGGAACTGCTGATCTCTAGTTTTCTGGCTGTTGCTGAACCTTTTCACTCCTTTCAGATGGAACCTACCATGCAGATAGACTCTGAGATACAGACAGAGCAGGTCTGCAGTGGCCTTGAAGGGATCATTCAGCTAGATGGGACTGGTGATGTTTCTCCTAAAGAGGAAATAGAAAGCCCAAGAGATGTGGAAGAAAATGAATTCATTGGCATTATTGACTCGGAGGATCTGAAAGTGCTTGATGATGATGAGGAAGATGGTGACAGTATTTCAAACAGTGAATCCAGCAGCAGTAGTGATACTGAAGAGCCCCCAGTAGACATAATTGAAGAGGTAATTGGCTTTTAGCAAGGCTGAATAATGTACTTGCATACAATCTTGACTTACTAAGATCCAACATATCTGTTAGTAGGTTGAGTGGATTGTATAGTTGAATATGTTGTGAACTTATTTTCAGAGGAGGATGCCCTAGACTAGGGGTAGCTTGATGGCCCGTGGGTGGAGTGTAAACCATTAGGAGAGCTGCTATTGGTTGTTGGGGCAATTAAATGCTTTTAATTAACAAAGATTTGAATCTACAATGAAATCCTGGCCCCACTGAAATAAAGAGAAGGGTTTTTTTTAATTTGCTTAGGATCAGAATTTCATCCTCTTTCTTGTCCTGTAGCAGCACTATTCAGGGTAGTGGGTACCACAGGTTCTTTTTTTTTTTGTTTCTCAGGGGACAAGTGGTTGAGCATCTTAGTTTCTGTTTAAATGAGTCCTGATTATTTTACTTGTATCACATTGGAACTGAGGCTCTCAACCTTTTTAGACTTGAGGCACCCCTCAGAAAATGCCAGCTCTTACTTTTCACTCACTTGGTTTCCGACTACAGAAAAATACTGGAGCAGTACTTCTGTTGCAAAGAACTTGGGAAGACCATAACAGGTCTGAATGTTCTTAATGCTATAAATTCCTGTTCCTATCTGAACTCTCTGGTTTTATGTTGTGAATTGTGTTTGTACACCTAACAGTGTTCATGCTGGTAGGCACTGTGTGGTACCCTTGAAAAGAGCGGAAGGCACCCCAGGGTGCTGCTACAGCACCTTGGTTGAGAATCACTGCCTTTAGGTGGGAGTCATTCTCATTAATAGAATCCTGTTAGGAGACTTTTCAAGTGTTTAAAAAAAAAAATTCTTACACTTAATAGAAGCGTCTTGAGCAAAGTGATCTTTTGTTTCTACATTTCCATTTTTTGGGGATGGACACATTTTTCATAACCCTTACTTGTGTTAGCCTTTATTTGGACTCTGTTTTAAAAAGCAGTTAGTGTTGTTTAACATGGTGATTTTTACTTTATAGGATCCTTTAAATTCCGGTGATGATGTCAGTGAGCAGGACACCCCAGATTTGTTCGATACAGACAATGTAATAGTTTGTCAGTATGATAAGGTAAAGTATGTAATCCTGTTTGTTCTTCAAATATTACAGGTGGTTTAAACAACAGACCATATATTTCTAGTTGAATTGCAGGCTGAAAATATCCAGGTTTTTCCAATCCTAAAATAAAAGAAAAAAATCGAATGTTGGCTAAGATGCACAACAAACGGAAGAAGACTATTTCAGCTCTGGTAACTGACTTACTTTAAAAAAGAGAATCTTTCACAGGAAAATCTTGAAGAACAAAAGCGTTCTGAATTTTGCATAATGAAGTGCAAAGTTGTCAGTTCTGCAAACACCTACATGGGTATGTTTAACTTCTTGTGATGTGAATAATCCCATTGACTTCAATAAGACATTTCAGGAATCAAGTTAATCATTAATTGAGGCCTTTGGGTAGGAAATAGAATGAGACTGTGTGCTTCCTTATCGTGTGATACTGTCTTCATTAGAAGAGGGTTTTAAAGACAGTCATCATAAATCTAGCTTTTCAAGTAAGTTAAGCAATTAGTTCTTAATGAAGACAAATACCCCATCCTAGGCTAATTAAAATAAAGACTCTTCTGAGCTGCTGGAAGTCGAACTAAACTCTAATTTTTGGTTTTTACATTCCTGAAATTCAAATTGTCAAACCAAAAATTGAATGTCCTTTTATAACTAAACACTGATACCATCAGCCTTGACAAATTTTTAAATGGAGGACTAAATTTTCAGTGACTTTTTAAAATATTTATTTTATTTTATTTATTTATTTATTTATTTTTGGAGGGGTTGTTTAACTTGAAATTCCTTATAGGCATTTTAGAAATCATTAAGCAGCTGAGCTCTTTAAATCTGGTTTCTTTAAGGTATGACAGGTTGTGCATCCATATTTGCTAGTCTTTTGGGAAAATTTTAGGAGGCTGGAGTCTGAATAAAAGACTCTTCTGAATTTGAGCCACAGTGCTTGTCTTCTGTAATAATTTCTTGGCAGTATAATATCGTCGGTGTGCTGGAATGTTGAGGGAGTGGATTCTTTTCTCTTAAAATCAAGTATTTGTATATGTGTTGAAAGATTGGCTTAGAACTTGTTTAAACTGATGTGGAGCATGAAATGGGAGCAGCCTTAAGGGTTTTCAGAAGAGAATTAATTTATAACCTCAGATGTGGACTGTCGTGTGTGTGTGTGTGGTGTGTGGTTGTGTGTTGGGTTTTTTTTTTTTTTTTTATAGCAGAGTGAGAGAAGATTACAGAGAACCTCCTTTTGCGAACCAGAAGGAATTATCTTATGCTACTACTAATTATTTTCAGAGCTATTACATGTAGTGGGAGGATGGAAGTGAGGTGACTGTCATTTTGCATGCTTCGGCTCCTTAAAAAAAATGTTGTCACTAATATCCGTAAGAACATGCTTTTATTTTCTGGGTTTGAAGACATCTTCAGGTTGAGAATTCAAGGAGTCTAAATTTGTTTCTACTTAATTTTGAAAGAAGAAATGAATCTGAAGTTCTCTTGTTGTACGGAACTTTTTAAGAAGTCTTTTATGATAGAAAAGTGTGGTTAAAAATATGAGTGTATTTTGTGCACCTGTTTTGTGTGGAATAATCCACTTTTCAGGGATTTTCTTGTAGTTGCCATAGTTTTGGGCTGTGTCCTTGCAAGTTTCCACTATTACCTTGCACTGTCTGTTTGAGTCCAGAATTAATTGTGTGCTAAATAGACCATATTCTGCAAGCGAGGTGCATGCAATGGATTGAAACGCCACTTAAATGTGATCTTTCACTCCTTTGTATTTTCTTGCCAATCTGTGAATTCAGCATTTGTTCGTGCTTGCTCTGTTTTGCCTGTTCTGTAATGAGCTTTTGTAAGCAAGATCAGGAATTCTTAAACATAAAGACAAAGGCTTATCATGTTTTTCCCCCTTAAAATGAGGAGGAAGTGGATCTCTTCCCAAGAGATTCTTAGCTAAAAGCCTACAAAAAAGGAAAGAACCTCTTTCCCT